AGTATGATAGCTGGGATGAAACTAATGTTTTGGAGAGTGCTAGCAAGTGTCTTTAGACTTGTTTATGCAAGTTGTAAACTACTATGAAGGTTTAAAAGTGTAGAATTGAAATTGGGTAGCTTGTAGGAGTGAATTTGGGTTTTAAAGGGTCAAGTTGAGTTACAGTAGGGTTTTCTAAGTTTTCTCAAGGTCTGGAGGGTCCTAAAGGTCTTTAAAAGTTGGGGGTAAAGTGTTCAAAGTGTGAAAATTGAGTCTTGATCTTATTGATGGCGCCTGAGCGCCCATTTCCAGAGGCGCCAGCGTTAAGCGCCATCCCCTGGACGTTGAGTGCTACTGGGAACCACTGCACCAAGTTTCAAGGGAGGGGGAGGGGGAGGGGGAAAGTGGGTTTTAGGGTTCTGGATATCATTTTTGAACGTTCTTTAGGTCGTTTTGGGGGTTTTGGATCCTTCCGAAGCTGGTGGTGAGTGTTTCAAAGTTGTTTTCCTTACCTAAATGTGAGTATCAAGAAGCCATGAAGAAATTGTGTTATTGTGTGATTTCCGATGACTTGTAAGTGTGTTTCTAATTCTTTAATGTATGATCAATAGTTTCATGTATTGGTATACTATGTGAATGTGAAGTGATCGTAATGGTTTCAAAGGTATATAAATGAGTTCCAAGGAGGAACTTCTTGGTGTTGGTTTCAAGTATCATTAGTATGAATGTAAGGAGCTAAGTCTTGGGGATTATCTTGACACTCTAATGGTTTTTCATTCTCAAGTAGAGAAGATTGACACATATGGTGAGAGTAGCAGGAGATCTTAGTCTTGGGTGCTTTCAATATGATCCAAGGCGTGGAACAGACTAACCTTGTGAGTGTGGTAAGGTGAAACCCATTGACAATAACTTTGTAAAGCAGTAGAAGCCACCACGAGTGCACAACCCACCATAGCTTGACATTCATTCTAAGTTCGAATAGTCCATTCATAATAAGTGTCATACATAAAGTGTTTGATGACTGTGTAGTGATATGTTTGTTGTATGTAACATGTTTAACTGAGTTTATATATATATATATATATATATATATATATATATATATATATATATATATATATCATTCTTTAATTGTAAACTAGCTAACCCTTTTATTTGTGCTTGTGTTTGTATGTTGTTGTGTTCTTTTCTTTGTTATGATCATCTTATGGGTGTGAGTAGAGTGTGATGAGGTTCCCTTGGAGCAGGTACTTGATGGAAAAGATGTTGTCGTTTAGTTTTCTTTAGATTAATTTTGTAAATAGTTTTGGTTAACTCGGTTGTATATAAAATTTAATTTTATAATTATTTTTGGATGACTGGAAATTCCACTTTATAATACTATCTACAACAGATTTATCTTATTAAATCATATGATTATTATATAGTTAAATGCTATATTTTGGGATATTACATTACTTTTAATATATTTCATGTCATTATCTATTATTATTCAATATATTTTTAATAAAATTTATTTATTATTTTATCTAATATTATTTTATATCAATTACAAAACTCATGTTCATAAAAAAAGATATATGAATAAGATAAGATGACAAAATATAAATGATATTATTCAAATACGGAAAATGTTAAAAAAAAAGAAGACTAATTGAAAAATATACTTTTTTTTAACATTTCATAAACTAAAAAATTATTAATAATATAATTAAAAATATCTAAATTTATAAGTGATTTAAAACTTAGTTAAGCTATATTTTTATATTAATACTATTATATAATATTTTCATGTCAATTTTACATTATCAAGTTAATAATAGTTTAAAAAATAATTGCCTAAAAATAAAATAAAAAAATTAAGTACATAAAAGAAATAATCCCTTCATTAATGATACAAATATTAATATGTAGGCTTAATACCCTATTTTGTCCCCAGTTTCGCTTGACAATGTCAAATTAGTCCATCCTTTAAAAAGTGATTTCATTACATCCTTACTTAATAAAATTTATATCAATGAAATCCCTTCCATTAAATCCGTACAAACGGCTTTAATTATTTCTCTCTCTCTTCTATTAACGTCGTTTGTACGGATTTAACAGAAGAGATTTCATTGATATAAATTTTATTAAGTAAGGACGTAATTGACGCACTTTTTAAAGGATGGACTAATTTGACATTGTCGAGCGAAACTGGGGACAAAATAGGGTATTAAGCCTAATATATATTACATATGTATCAGTGATGGTAATGTCATTTATTCATATATTTAATAATAAATTTCATGATTAACTTTAAGATACGTCATTCTGACAAGTACGTTAAGATTTTATATTAACAATTGACTAACTGTCAGAACTAGTAAAATAAACGCATGTGCCAACGTAGTGGATTACATGTATCAAGAGGGGGGTTCGACACTCAGATGGTGGAAAGCAAGTGTTAGCAGCTGAGTGGACGTTCATTTTGACGTTGGAAGAAAAACTCTAAGTTTTCAAACTTCACGCCACTCTCTGCATGCCCTTCTTCCCCAGAATTCTGAAATCTCCTCCTTCTCTCTACATCTCCTTCATCTTCTCTCTAAGAAAGCCTCATCGTTTCTTCCTCCGATCATCACTCAGGCACCATTTCTACTCCTTCGGTGTCAAGAGCTGTAGTTTGAACCGATCGGTTTCGAGTTTTGAGCTGGTAAGTTCTTCTCTTCACTCAGCCGTGCGGTTTTCTTTACATGCAAACCAAGTTCTGGTTTCATGAGTTGATCGTTCTTCTAAAAACAGAGGTTCTGATAGTATTTTGATTTTACTTGGTTTAGTTTGGAAAGTTGTTGAGCGTTGAGGGTAGAAGGACTTGTTGTGGTGTGAACTGTATTCTGCCTGTGAACGTGCGGTCACGCTCAGAGGTAAGGGAAGCTTATATAACTTAATTTGTATGTTGCTTGGATTGCATGTACGTTCGTTGAGTTCTGAATTAAAATATGATTGTTGCTATGTTTTGATTGTATGAAGTATGAAGTATTTACTATGATATGAATGTATGAAATTATGAAGATAAATGTTGAGAAATGAGTTGAGATAAATAATTCTAAGTATGAAATTCCCTATGATAACGTATGTTCGTTACTGAATGGTCTTTGACCATTCGGTTTTTCTCGAGGACTCGTTTAGAACTGGATTCTTTCATTTGGAAGGAATTTATGTTGAGAACGAGCGTCTTCGTCTAGTACAAATTGTGTACAGGCGTTCCACCAAGGATATTCTTTCCTTGGCATTTTGATATAAATTTAAGTATGTCTATATGTAGTAGTATGTTCGTTCGTTCTAGAACATTAATTAAATAATATCTTATATCTACCAAGCATTCGTACGAATTAGTGCTAGGTCATTCAACAAGCGATCGTACTATTTACTCATAGGTCTTTCACCAAGCGATCGTACTATTTACTCATTAGGTCTTTCATAAAGCGTTCGTACGATTTAGTGCTAGGTCTTTCACCAAGCGCTCGTACTATTTAGTGCTGGGTCTTACACCAAGCGCTCCTTCTCTTTTCTATAATCTACCTTGATGAAACTAGCGTTCGTCCAAACTCTATGGTGTTCACTCTCTACCATGCTCGGTCTTCGACTAGCATTCGGTTTTCTTTAGGGTAAATTTAATAAATAAGCTAAGTATTTATAAGCGTTTGGTTTCTTCATATGATTCTTTTAAGTACTATTATTTGAATGTCTTATAGTGTCTGTTTCCATTGGTTTCGACCTAGAGTCTTAGTACTTGTTTTAGGTTTTAAGGTGTTCAGTCTAAACGCTCATGGGTTAGTTCATCAAATTGACTCACTTTGTAAATAACGTTCAATCCTTTTAATCTTGAGAAATATTATTGAACTCGGTCTCTTCCGATCCCGATGGTAATTCTCTCTCGGTTTTGATCTGTTCTGGAACTGGAAACCTCTCCATCTCAGTCCAAGTGTTCGGTCTCGTTAAGGGTTAAAGTTTTACGTTCGGTATTTGGTATCCTAAGGGATCTTCGTTAAAATTGAAGTTGAAAATGAAAGATGATGGAATATGATGTAGATGAAATGAGTATGATTATGAACGAGTATTCCGGGGAAGAATATCTCATGAATGGATATTGGAATTTGGTAAAGTATGAATGTGGGCATGCTAAGCTGGCGGTTCATCCTGATGTTCCGTGATTACTCGTCCTCACGTAGAGGAGGATAAGTCATGTGTGGGAATGGCATGAGGTCCTAGTCCTTATGGTTAATTTGGACAGATAGGACTAACCTCGGGTGGCAGCTGTTGAGGGTATCCCAGTTACTACATCATCCGGGTGCACGAACGTCATAGCTACACAAAATTCATACAGTCCGGACAGTCAGAGTCTAGTATTAGGCTTTGCATGAAAGAGTTAATGAATTATCTTGTTTGGTTGAATCGTGTGAAATATATGTTGATACATGAATTAAATTGCATAAGCTTACCCTATGTTTTTTGTCTTGTCTGTTTTGTACGTTCGGTTGTCTTTCTGTTGCAATCCATGTGGATGTGAGCAGAAGGAGACGAGCTGCCGGAAGAAGCGTTGGAAGAAGAAAACTTAGTCGAGGTAGAAGTTAAGACCGAACCATAGAACCGTTCAGTCAGTATATTAGGTTAGTTTTAAGATGATCATTCGATCATCTTTTCCTTCTTCTTTTGTAGGACCGTTCGGTATAGCCCTTTTGTAAACCGTTCGGTTGGAGTTTGCTTATGTTGTTCATTTTTAAATTTCTTGTCTCTGTAAGGCCGTTCGGCCACGAGTGTACATTAAAAAAATGGCTTTTTAAGTATATGTTTGAATAACCACTCAATTAATTCTGACCTTTAAAATCTGATTAACAAATTATGGAAAAAAAAATAGAAACAACTATTTATTGGTTTAAATATGAATTGTGAATTAAAATCAACTATAAAATAATTGAATTTAATCCGAAAACTTTGTTAGAGAGAAGTGAAGTGACAGAAAAACCATAAAAACAAGAAAATAAAAACGGTAGAATCAGACACTATTGTGAGGCCGAGAAAGCCTGAAAAAGTGAGCCTTTTATTCATAAGGTGTAGGGTCTTTTTCCCAAAACACGCATAATTGTTTTGGTAGACAAATCCACAGACCCACCAAACATCCAACAAGGTAAACGGTAACTGTCATCCTTTTCTTTCCCTTCGTTTTTTCTTCATCACCTAATCACAATCTCTTGCATTCTCTGTTTTCTGATTTCAGGGTTTCATCCTCTGTTCTCTGGGCGTCTTTCCTCCGTTTCTTGGGCCCTTTTTCTTTTCTGGGCCTTTGCCTATTCTCGATGGAGGTAATTGATTGAATCTTGCCATGTTTTGATCAAATTTAGTGTCTTTTTTTCTCTTTCGTGATTCCTTGTGCAATATCAGTTGTAAAGATTGGTGCTTTTTAATCTGTGGTTGGTTGGATTTACCCCCTTTTGGTGATCCTTTGCTTTGATATGTTATTGGAAAATGTTTCTGTTTCTTTTTCTGTTCTTGGATTTTGTTGTGATCTCACCTGATTCTTTTACTTTTAATTTTGATAATTATGGAAGTTAATCAAATGTGCATCCATTTATTGCTGGCAAAACATGATCGAACATGTTCCGGAAGGATAGGTATTTGATAGTTGGGAGAGGGAAAACTGATTATTGTTTGAAGTTATTTGCTCAATCTGTGGAAGTCTTTTTCTCGAAGAATTCCTAAAGCTTATTTGGGTGCATAGGGCCGATGACAACTGCGTTTATTTTCATGGTTGATAATAAAGACCAAGGTTTTAAATTGTGGTCGTGGTTTCATCGTGATTCTTTGACATTGAGGGAAATTGCAGACAAATTCAGCCGCATTTGCAGTTGTGACAAGCCCAGATACATAGATGTACTGGACAAAATTGTTGTTACCAACCATTTTCTAAAACCTTCTGCACATGAAATTGCAATTGTGGCTGCAACATAAAGAACTTTAGGGTCTCGCTCTCAGTTTTCCACAACATCAAGGATTGTGAGGAAATTGCATCAACGACAACAATCAAAAACCTTCTTAATAATATGTGTGATGTTTTTGTTCTTGTTGTTTTGCTTTTAGTTTAAAAAGTATGTGCAAGGGAATTCTTTGGTAACTTTCTACTGTAAGGTTTTTATAATTTGTGCTGAGGGTTGTGGTTGCTACAATTCAGAGCGAGGGATTATGCATTTTGGTATTATCACTGCATCATTTCCTTGTTTATCTATCCTTGGATTTATAGATATTGGGGAGTAACCTGGATTTTATGTTTACTTATTGAGATTGTTTATAGTGACTCAAATATATTTCATCTTGACTCTGAGAACTCTGAAATATACAGGTTCCGGAAATGGGAGGCAAGACTGAAACCCATTTGACATCAGCAGCAGCCTTTGTGGAAGGGGGGATTCAAGAAGCATGTGATGATTCTTGTAGCATATGCCTTGAGAATTTTAGCAAAAGTGATCCTGCAACTGTAATGTGCAGCTTTTGTGCTTTCTTTTATTATTTTCACAAATAGAATTATGAGCAAAGATGGCTTTATTTGAAAAGCATTTGTTTACTTATTTCCCCTGTCTTTCTTTCCAGGTCACTAATTGCAAGCATGACTTCCATCTGCAGTGCATTCTTGAATGGTACATTTTAATATTTTTCATGTGTTTTTCATAAAACGTAGCTGTTTAATTTAATTTTAAGCTCTATATTCTCATAGAGAAATATATTATGCTTGTCATTTTGGTTCCTTAATATTAAAATTGCTTCTAGTTTTCAGCATTAACAAGTTTTCACTCATGAAAAGTTAGAACTCGGAGTCATTTGTATAAATTGTATTTCTGAAAGACCTGGGTGGGGGATGGGGCAAGGGGGCCAAAAACTGGGCATGGGAAGGGATAATTGGCCCACAAATGTGATCACGACAAGTTCTCTTTGCACTTGATTATATTGTCTATTTTGACTGGAAAATCAATGGACTGCCCATTTTTCTAGTCTAATTCTTACTCACCTGTATGCTACAATTCAATCAGAATTGAACTGTTCCTGACGGCTGACATTATCTGTTGAATTGGTGTGGTGTTACGAGCTTCTGTTTCATTGTCACATGATGACAGTTTGTGATGTTGCTACATCATCACCAAATTGAATTTTTAAGGGATAAAGAGACTACCAAGGTATCCGAACTGTAGGCTGAGGCTTCTTGGTGTGAGGGTTGACATTTGGAAACAGAACAATAAATTTCATTGCTAGGTCACAAGGTGGTGTAACAATCGTGTTGTCATAAGAGCTTTAACTGATGCTGCAATATAGTAAATATATTCAATATATTTATGCTAGAAAAGACATTCCTTGAGAAGTTTGAAAAGATTTAATTATTCATCATCAATGTATGACTCAGAAATTTTCAGATGTGTTATTTTTTAATTACTGAAGAATGCACCTATATATTCTCACTCATTTGGTGATATGAAAGTCTACATATCTTGAAAACAAATTGTGTTGACTCCAGTTGAATTTCTTAACTGTGAATTGCTTCTCGTTTTAGTTCAATGATTGGTTCAGTTTTCAGAATATTGGTCTGACTATTAATCGCACAAATATTCTTACTCCTTTTCGACACATTCTAAAATTTGGGAATTCATGGATTTAAATTCTTTAGAATTTTCCATATAGTACAAATATCAGGAATTCCTATGCATTATGGTGTCAACCTTAGAGTCGGAGTAGGTGGGATTTTGCCAAAACTTTAACCTTAATTTTTAGACAAAGTGCTAACTCCCAACAAAGTTTACAGCACTAGCAGCTCTAAATAAAACAAAATGCCCTATGTGTTGTTTGTATGCAGGTGTCAGAGAAGTTCTCAATGCCCTATGTGTTGGCAAGCTATCAGCTTGAAGGATGCTACCAGGTTGTTAAGGATTTTTCTTCCTGTGGCCTACTGTATAATTCATTTCATGATCATATTCTTACAACTCTATGAACCATGACAGTCAAGAACTGCTCGAGGCAGTAGAGCAGGAGAGGAGCTTGAGGGATATCCCATCCAGAAATGCTTCAATTTTTCATCTTTCGCAGCTTGAATTTCAGCAGGTCAGTGTATCTGTGAATTTTCATTTTGTTGTCCTACGTCTTAACTGTTAGCACATCTTGTTTCCACCATCTATACATGCTAGAAATTTTCTTACTTGTGCAGTTACCAATGCGTGAGTCTGATATTGAAGAGCGAATCCTTCGACATTTAGCTGCTGCAGCATCAATGAGGAGAGCACACCATCTTGGTCGGAGGGAAAGTCAACGAACTAGGTCATCTGGTCATGGCAATGCACACTCCTTAGTGTACTCAACTCATCCTAGAGCACCTCCATCAGCTACTGGAGCGGGAAATGAACCAGCTGCAATTCCTGCAGGAAATCCATCTTCTCCTCTTATATTTGATGGAACACAACAATCATCACCACAGCAGATGCCCCTATTACAAACTCGGAGTTCTTCTTTTACTTCTGGCTCTACAGTCGCAACAACAAATCTTCAAGGAGTTCACTCTAATGATGGGTAGTTAGACCTTAATATTTATTTTCTTGTGGTCATTATTGGTGTGCGATCATGTGAAGTTATACATTGTATATTTACGTGTTTGTAGAAGCTTTGCCTCTCATTCCTTGCCTGCAAGCCATGATGAACCAGAGCCATCAGAACAATCATTCTCAGATTCTCTCCTTTCCAAATTTAATGCAGTATCCATGAGGTACAGTTTCACCAAAACCATGTGTTTGCAAATTCTATATGTTGTTAGGTTGACTCATCCAATGATTTTTCTTATGGCAAAGATACAAAGAATCAATTTCAAAGGGCACAAGGGGATGGAAGGAGAGGCTGTTCTCTCCTAATTCTTCTGTGTCAGAACTTGGTTCTGAAGTTAGGAGAGAATTGAATGCCAAAATTGCTAGTGTGTCCCGATTGATTGAGCGCCTCGAAACAGCAAGAGAAAATAAGAGCGCTGCAGGCACTTCTGTATCAAATCATTCCATCGCAGAGACCAGCAACAACCAAAACAATGCGGAAGTTCACGGAGAGAACTCTTTTCCTGGCAGTAATACTTCTGCTACTTTTTCTGTTTCCCCAGATTCAAAGTGAGCTCTAGTTTACTTCTGTGCATGCATCTTTGCTCAGCATATCATGTTTGAAGGTGAGCCTTGATCTTAGTTTACACTTTTTTGCCTCACAACACAACAGAATCAATGGAGATTTCATCCATTTGTTGACTAAGTTTTAGAGGTTAATAATTTCTGTCAACTATCTGTGTCAAATATTTTACAGAGTCCAGATTCTGTACTAAGTTTGTTTAATTGTCTTTCTGCCAAGCCTACAAAATACACTGATGTCAGTATATTAAAAGTTGATCAACCAATTGAAAATGATCATTACTATAACTTCAAGATAGTTTTTTGGTAGAAGTTAACTAGTTCATTCATGGTGATTAATGATTGAAAGACAGTACTTTTTACACTAATGGTTGTGTTTTTGTATGTATCAGATATCATTTCTCAAGTGAGTGTTTTTTGTATTTTTTTTTTTCAGGCAAAGCACTTGCTCAGATATGACATGGTGAGGAATATATGGTGATGGAAGTTATTGGCTGAGTAAGAAAATAGGATCTGAAGCAAAAGTTTATGCTTTTATGTAAATATATTATATGCGGGGAACTGTAGGAAGTAAGTGTTTAAGGTATAAACCAAGGGAGAAAGTGTTATGAGATTTCTCCAATCTTAGGTATATTATCATATATGTTCATAATATGTCCTTCAAATTACTTTTTGGAGTCAAGGGAAAAATAGATATCAAGATGGCAACCTGAATTCTTGGTGTTTCTGCTACTTTAAGCTAAAAGCTTTGTTTTGAAATTCACGTTGGTGAAAACTTCAACCTATCATACTGTTAATGAATTAAAAGTAAAATCTGGTGATTGCTGTTCTAAAGTTGTGGCCATTCTGGAATGTTGATATTTATCACCTTTTATTTTAAATCTTTTGATCAACAAAATGCACTGCTTATTTTGTTTAGTTCTTAAGTTTTGGTCAATATCAGGGTTTTTTTTGGTCAATATTATTTCTTAATTTAATTAGTGTTTTCTTTGAAAAAAAGAGTTTTGTTTTAATTAATGTGAAACATGATTTTTTTTTTTTACATAAATCGAAGTTAGCAACACCTATCAAAGATAAACACTACAAAAACTATTTTCTTTCGCTCATGCTAGTTGAGTTATTTTTTTACAACAATAATAATAATAAGATTACCATAAGTAAATTTTTTAATTGGTGTTCATGTTATTTTTTAATTAATATTAACTAGACACTTCTTATCATTATATTATTATTTTGGGTTAAATATGTTTTTGATTTTTTAATTTTAGTAAAAATTAGAGATAGTTTTTTTAAAATTTTAGTTAATTTATTTTTTTAATTTTAAAAATACGTGAATTTAATTTTTTTAGTTAAATTTTGTTTTAACGTTTTAAACTGTTTTAATTAAAAGATTAATTTTTATTTTTATTTATAGATAAAGGACGGAAACATATTTAACTATTTTAATATTAATATTATTGTTAATTTTTTTTTTTAGGTTAAGATTTTTATTTTTAACTTTGGTATAATATTACATGGTATTGAGAACTTAAGCAATTTGAGCCTCTAATTTGTTATCCTCGTTTAGTTTTCGAATTATGTTATAACTTTCTTCACCAATAATAGTGTTCTAATGAATTTAGATAACCTTTAAAAATGAATTAAGATAAATTATAGTTTAATTAGTGAAAAGACATTTTTAGTTAACAAACTTAATTTCCATCTTATACTTTCATATCAATGAATTAGCTCTCAAATAATAGAAAACAATTAAATTCTGTTGCATCGCAGTAAAAAATCATCTACCACGAATAATGAATAACTTCAAATATTTACAAAAGTTGAATGACTAATTGATCTATTTAAAAGATCTAAGACCATATTTTTCCTTAAATTCATTATTTGCAAAGAGCTGAAGCATTGTTTTGTTTGAAATTTGCAGCTGCATTTTTTTGTTTATGCAGTTGAAGTATATTAAGCAATGATCAGTCGGTCGTTTAGGTGACAACATTGTTTTGAAGTTTCCCATGAAATCATTAACTAAGCTTCGATTCCTGAATCCCCTTCTCTCACGATCTCACGTTTTGAATCTTTCCAACACTGCAAAACTTTCACGCCCTCGTAGAGAAACAAAGCAACAACTTTCCAACACCAACATTCCTTCAGATATTGATGCTTCTCGTGCACTTTTCAACGAGATCACCCAGATTCTAGGTGCAGAAACCGTGTTCCCAGACCAATCCCCATCTGGGTCTTTGTTTCCTTTAGAAACTCCCCAGTCTGAAGTTGGTTCCATGGACCAATCAGCTTGCACCAAAGGTGTTTGTCAAAATTCCGCACAGAATGTTGGCTCTTTGGAAGATGCTCAGGTGGGAAATATGGGTAAGGAAGATCTAAGCCGGATTGTGGATGAGATTACTGAAATCGTTAGAGGGGAAAACAGTTCCACTTCTGTGGAGGAGAGGTTAGAGAATCTAAGTTATGGGTTGAACAGTGAGGTTTTTGACATGGTGTTGAAGAGGTGCTTCACGGTACCACTACTGGCTTTGAGGGTTTTCAATTGGCTGAAGCTCAAGGATGGGTACTATCACACGACGCAGACATATAATATCATGTTGTACATTGCTGGAGAAGCTAAGGAATTTGGGTTGGTGAAGAGACTGGTGGAAGAAATGGATGAGTGTGGAATCCAAAAGGATATTAAGACATGGACCATTCTTGTCACCCACTATGGTAAGGCAAGGAAAATTAGTGAAGCATTGTTGGCCTTTGAAAATATGAAAAGGTGTGGCTGTGAACCGGATGCTGTTTCATATAGCGCAATTATCTGTTCACTTTGCAGTGCTGAGAAGGGAGACATTGCTATGGAGTTCTATACTGACATGGTCAGGAAGGATATGGTGTGTGATGTGAGGTTGTATGAGACAATCATGAAGTGCATGGCAAGATCGGGAGATGCGGCAGCTGTTAGATTACTTGGAAATGACATGATACGGTTGTCTGTGATGCCAGAAAACCGTGTTCATAGCTGTATGCTGAAGAACTTTTGCATTACTGGGAGGATTGAAGAGGCTTTGGAATTGATTCGGGACCTCAAAAGTAAAGATTTAGATCTTGAACCTGAAAATTATGAGAACTTGGTTAGAGGACTGTGTAAGGCAGATAGGATCACAGATGCTTTACATATTGTTGAAATTATGAAGAGAAGGGATGTGGTTGATGAGAAGATCCATGGGATTATCATAAATGGGTATTTAGGGAGAAATGATGTTGACAGGGCGCTCAAAGTATTTCAAAGTATGAAAGAATCTGGTTGTGTGCCTACTATTTCCGCATATACCGAACTGATACAACATCTCTTTAGGTTGGGGAGATATGAAGAAGCTTGCGTGATGTATGATGAGATGCTGGGAAAAGGAATTAAGCCAGATATTGTGGCAATAACAGCTATGGTTGCAGGTCACGTTTCACAAAATCGTATATCTGAAGCATGGAAAATGTTCAGTTGTATGGAGTGCCAAGACATCAGGCCCACTCGGAAATCCTATGAAGTATTCATTAAGAAGCTTTGCAGGGTTTCAAGAACAGAAGACATTGTCAAAGTATTGCACGAAATGCAGGCTTCAAAGATTAAAATTCAAGATACTGTATTCCGTTGGGTTATAACATACATGGAGGAAAAGGGGGAGCTTACTATGATGGAGAAAATCCAGCAGATGCGTAAAGCATACACACTTGATTCTGAAAAGTTCAAGGGGTCAAACAAACAAGTATCTTCGGAAATTAAGGTGGAAAAGGATGTTAAAGTTGACCTATCAAAGTCAAAAATAGACTATTCCTCTACACACCGAAACCTTAAAACTTGCACGGAGCCAGATTTTCATGAAATTTGTAGGATACTTTCATCCTCTACAGATTGGTCCTTAATCCAAGAAAAATTGGAGAGAAGTACATTTCGCTTCACCCCAGAACTTGTTATAGAGATATTGCAAAGTTGCAATATGCATGGTGGCTCTGTCCTAAAATTCTTTTCATGGGTGGGAAAGCAATCTGGGTATCAACACACATTAGAATCTTACAACATGGCAATGAAAATTGCAGGCTGTGGCAAAGATTTCAAGCACATGCGCAGCTTGTTCTTCGAAATGCGAAGAAATAGTTATCCAATCACACCAGAAACATGGACAATCATGATAATGCTTTATGGTCGAACAGGTCTGACTGAGATGGCCATGAATTGTTTCAAAGAGATGAAAGCTGATGGTTATAGCCCCAATAGGAGTACATACAAGTATCTGATAATTGCCTTTTGTGGGAGGAAAGGAAGGAAGGTTGATGATGCTCTGGAAACATACAGTGAGATGATTGGTGCAGGATATACCCCTGACAAAGAACTGATTGAAGCTTACCTCGGTTGTTTATGTGAAGTTGGTAGAGTGTTGGAGGCCAGAAGATGTGCAGATTCTCTTCAGAATTTTGGCTACACAGCCCTTCTCGGTTATTCCGTGTTTATCAGATCTCTTTGTAGAGCTGGGAGAGTGGAAGAAGCATTGGCATTAATTAAAGAGGTTGGGGAAGAAAAGTCTAGTTTAGAGCAGCTAACTTGTGGAAGCATAGTTCATGGTCTATTACGTAAGGGTCGACTAGAAGAGGCATTGGCCAAGGTGGATGCCATGAAACGGAAGGGAATAGCACCTACCATCCATGTTTATACATCACTGATGGTTCATTTCTTTAAAGAGAAACAAGTAGAGAAAGCTATTGAGACTTTTGAGGAGATGCAACAGTCAGGTCATGAACCAAACATTGTCACATATTCTGCACTTATACGTGGGTACATGAACGTGGGTAGGCCCATTGATGCATGGAATATCTTCTACCTTATGAAACTAAAGGGACCATTTCCTGATTTCAAAACGTATTCTATGTTCCTCACATGCCTTTGCAAGGTTGGGAGGTCTGAAGAAGCAATGCAACTTATTTCTGAAATGTTAGACAGTGGAATTGTTCCAAGTACTATAAATTTTCGAACGGTTTCTCATGGGCTAAACAGAGAAGGTAAAAATTATTTAGCCCGCATTGTATTGCAACAAAAGTCAGAACTAAGAAGAAAACGCAGGCTCGTCGTAACTTGATTTCTTTTTATAACCTTTGGAAATCGATGGACTTATGCAATAGTAGTTTCTCATTTTAATTTACTTCTAATCTCGTCATATTGAAAGAATATAACCCGAAGAAAGTAACAATTATCTAGGAAAAATAACGAGTGCATGGCCACATTATGAATCGAAGCACTCGCTATATGACTAATACTATTTGCCATCTTGTATATAAACATCAAATTGCATCAAATATGCATACATGCATTGCCACGATGTTATCTGTACCACAAAACTCCTTTATTGCATAAAATAAGCAAAAATTTCAAGGTCATCCACTCTAATGTTAGGAAAATAGTAAGTGTTCTCAGTGGCGTGCAGCTCATCAGGAATTGTGAATGCTTAGGATATGCCACATGTGACAAAATGTTAACTACAACCTGTACATAGATGACATGAAAATAAACGAATCAGAAGCAGAACTATATGGAGGGGCAACTCAAGATATATCAATAACATTTCTAAGTTAGAAAACAAGAGAAATAATGTATCACTAAAATCATCAATTTTGATGAAGATACATTTTACTGCAAAAGCCTTGAAGCGCAAATGGCAAAACTGGTACAAGTTCTCTGGAAGGATACCCAATTTTATTCAAAGCTAGACATGTCTCCATAAACT